CACCCATTCAACCTGATCTTTTGAGCTAGACTATTGAAAGTAAAACATAGATCATAAACTTGCTAACAAGTAGCTTTACCCTTTCACTCACTGGTGCTTTTATGGTGCCTTTCTGTTTTACATCTATACAGACGGGTGTTTTGGAAAATGAGACATTAAAACAGAAATAGGAAAGCTTTTTTAGCCCATTTTACTAATTAATATGTCAAAGCTCATAAAGAAGAACTCATCAGCTTTTCTCCAGTACTGCATCATCTTAAAGAGCTGTGTCAGCAAGGACTTCAGCAGACAGTCAATACATATTAAAAGAATTTCAAGCAGTAAATCAAAATAGAAAAAGAAAGTGGGGAAAAAAGGAAAATAAAACACAAATAGCTGTAAGCTACCAGTACATAATTTGGGTCTTTTTATAAAATCAAGGAAGGGCAGTATTTTTTCTACATCAACAGGATCTTGTAAATAATATCTTCCTCCTCCTCCTGTTATTGTTCTTCTAGTGAAAGAAAATGAAAAAGACAAGTTTAAGGAAGAGCTCATACAAAACTGAATTAATATTCTCTGGATTTTGACCTTTTGGATATTTTTGGGTCTTTCACATTTTTAAAGAGGCACTGCTTGTGTCGCTCTCCCTCTCAACTTTGTTATCACTGAGATTTAGAGAAGGAAAAAGTTTACTATGCTAAGCACAAGGGGAGGTGGAGATAAGGAAACACTCCTGCCTTCCTGAAGGAACTTTGAGGACACCCCAATGCACACACTTTGCAGATCCAGGTTCTTTCCAGGGCAAACTAAATGGGACATGTCAACACACTAGTTCAGGGATTCTTCTCTTTCCACTGCAACGAGCAGAAGTTTCTGCAGAAAACATCTGCAATTCTAAGAACTTAGATAGGTTTTGGAGTAGCTTCATTCTCCAAAGACAGGCCAACGCGCACAGCGGAGGTGCACAATGCCACAATAACCAGAATGTATAGTCATACTCTTCTTGTTTGTGGAGCATGTGAGTGAAATAGAGGCACCTGCAGGGACATGTCTTCCGATAGGAATGCTTCAGTCCTGGGGAAATCCAGGGATGTATCTAAAAGTACGTATTTTCATGAGAGAATTAAAAAAGACTATTCTTTGTGGGTGAAATATACCAGGAAATAGAAATAGGAGGCTATAGCCACACATGCTTCTAATGCCTTGCCTTAGGACGTAGCTCTGAGAAACCAGTTGCCTAGACTGAGGTAGACCTAGGAAACCAAAATGTGCTATCACTTCTACCCAGTAACGAGTAAATACCGTCCATATTGTAACTAGACCAAAGGGCAAGACTAAAGGATGGAAGCGTTTTCCATCCACTAGATACCAGAAGGCTTTTTCCTTCGAGAGAGTTATTGAACCACACATCTCATAGAACTAGTCATGCTGAAAAAGAGAAGGGATAATTGCATTGATTGTCAGTATGTGATAATTAATTCACTAGAGAAATATGTTTAATTTCCTGAAGTCTAGGATGACGTGGAATCTCTGCTTTTCGCAACGAGAAAATAACAGGCTGTTTGCTCCCTGCAGCAGAAATGGCTACAATTTCTTAACAGTTCCTCATAAAAGGGAAACCTAGGAAGTGTATGTGATGGAAGATGAAACAGGAAAGTATAGCCCTGGTCTTTCAACCTTTAAGACCCAATAGTCTGAAGTGACAGAATGTGTCAGGCAAACAGAAACAGTATGAAAATAACTCCATGATCTTGAGCAAATTTCAAATATGACTATTTGCATGGGACAATGCAGGAAGGTGCTTAAGAATCTGAAAGGAGGAGTTTGGTGCTTTTTGATTGGTTGGTTTTTTGAAGAGTGGTTTAGGCAATACTAGATGCTGGTATCCATGGGAAAAAGTGCTTTTCAATCTCTGCTGACAGAGTTGCTTTCCATGTTGAGGTCAGATAAATCCAAAGGATAGCAGTTGCTCTTGTCTCCCTAAAATTGGCCGAAATGTCTAAGACCCCCTCCCCCCCGCAAACAATAAAAGATTTGGGACTGCTGCATCTTTCATTAGGTCATCTATAGAGAATCTGGAGAAGGGTGTGTAAAGAAAATTGGAAGTGCTGCTTAGGAACCTGATATTCTAGGTTATTAGCACCTTTTAGCAACTGATTGCCAACAAGTTATGATCTCAACAGGCTCTGTTCCAGTGTTCGGTGATAGGAAGACCCTCTGTTTATCCTTGGCAAACTGACTGATGTTGCAATATTTGTGAACCTTCTCCTGACTGGAGAAAAGGTTCACACCCAAATACGTTTCAATCCGATGAGTCATTTTTAGAAGCTTTTTCATACCCAAAGAAGAAGCAGCTGAAAGAAAATGTTCCCCCCTCAGCTGTAGGAACATGACATATGAGCTGATCCTCCAGTTTCAGAAAGAATATTTGAGGTACACAGACGAGAGGAGGAAGCCAAAGAATTTAAAGGGAGCTTACCCTAAATTAAGGAAATGGTCTTTAAGTATGGAATGCCTAAATCAGAGAGCTGTATAATAACAAAACTACAGCAGACATGTAAGACTGTATAGGCCAGGTACACCATAAACATGCAGAAATCTCATTATTAACTGGCCTTTAAATCCATTTTTTGGAGACAAACGTGGCTGTAAGGAAAGCTGCACAGTAACTCTTTGAGCACTGAATCAGGACATCAGTGGATGTTCCAGACAGAGAAAAGCATCTCATGAGAAAACCAGAAGACCTAAACAGAGAGAACAACTATCAGAAAGCAAAGCTGGATCTCTCCACACATGTGAGAAGATACAGAACACGGGCACAGACATTTCTTGTGCCAGACCAGAGAGAGACAATCAGTGATAAACCAGGCTCATGACTCCATAGGGATTGTCACTGTACCTAATAAGTAGAGCAAATGCTGGTCTGTGATGGACATTTCATAAAATCATTCCCCCCCACCCCACCAAGCCTTGAATTTTCATTTGCTACTTTTCTCAGAGTTAGACGTTGAAAGAATTTTATTGACACTAAAGAAATTCTGATTAAAAAAATTTTTTTTTTTTTTTTTTTTTTAACTAGAACCACTGCTCTAATGGTCAAAAAATGATTAGATATACACTTGCACTAGGAAAACAACAGTCTTTTGAAAAATTAAACTTCGTCAAATTAAGTAAAAAGGTGAACTTGTTTCACATCTGACAAACTGATGTAAAAATATAGCATCAAAACATGTAATAAGGAACAGCACTGAATTTCTTGAGAGGTCTTCTAGCGCAGTCCCCTGCACTCATGGAAGGACTAAGTATTATCCCTTCTATACCATCCCTGACAGGTGTTTGTCCAACCTGCTCTTAAAAATCCCCAATGATGGAAATTCCACAGCCTCCTTAGGCAATTTATTCCAGTGCTAAATCACTCTGACAGTTAGGAAGTTTTTCCTAATGTCCAACCTAAGCTGCCCTTGCTGCAATTTAAGCCCATTGCTTCTTGTCCTACCCTCAAAGGTGAAAAACAATTTTTCTCCCTCTTCTTTGTAACAACATTTTATGTACTTGAAAACTGTTATCATGTCTCCTCTCAGTCTTCTCTTCTCCAGACTAAACAAACCCAATTTTTTCAATCTTTCCTCACAGATCATGTTTTCTAGGCCTTTACTCATTTTTGTTGTTCTTCTCTGGACTTTATCCAATTTGTTCACATCTTTTCTGAAATGTGGCACCCAGAACGAGACACAATACTCCAGTTGAGGCCTAATCAGCACAGAGTAGAGCAGAAGATTTACTTCTTGTGTCTTGCTTACTACGTTCCTGTTAATACACCCCAGAATGTTTGCTTTTTTTGCAACAGAGTTACACTGTTGACTCATATTTAGCACTATGACCCCCCAGATCCCTTTCCGCAGTACTCCTTACAAGGCAGTCATTTCCCATTTTGTGTGTGCAGCTGACGGTTCCTTCTTAAGTGGAGTACACTGCATTTGTCCGTATTGAATGTCATCTATTTACTTCAGACTGTTTTTCCAGTTTGTCCAGATCATTTTGAATTTTAATCCTACACTCCAAAGCACTTGCAACCCCTCCCAGCTTGGTATCATCCGCAAACTTTATAAGTGTACTCTCTATGCCATTATCTAAATCACTGATGAAGATACTGAAGAGAACTGGACCCAGAACTGATCCCTGCGGGGCCTCACTTGATATGCCCTTTCAGCTTGACTATGAACCACTGATAACTACTCTCTGGGAATGGTTTTCCAACCAGTGTTGCACCCACCTTATAATAGTTCCATCTAGGTTGCATTTCCCTAGTTTGTTTATGAGAAGGTCATGCGAGACAGTACTAAAGTCAAGATATACCACGTCTATTGCTTCCCCCCTATCCACAAGGCTTGTTACTGTAATAAAGCAACTGCATCTTGTACAGTATTGCAACTTGTTTCACAGAATTGTTATTACAAGACTTTGTGGTAACACTGCTGGATATAAACCTTCATTGCTAACGAATATAGATCTTAAGCAGTTTAAGAAAAAGTGGATCCTTTCATTAGTATAGTCATACTGAAAGAACAACTTCTGTAGATGAATAAATGGGAACGAAAAAACAATAGTCAAAGCTTCAGTAGGGCTGTCTATCTTCAATATTTCAGACTGTGAGAGTGGAAAACTGAAATTCTTCCAGGAGGACAAAGAGAATGAGACATTTATATTGTTCACAATTTACACTGTTTAAGTGCCTACATTGGCACGTGAAAAGACTACAGGTTTTGTCCTTTACTTATTTTAACTTACACTCTACTCAGTGTTCAATAGATATATTTTTAAAGAAACCGTTATTACTTTTCCTGCAAGTGATCGCAGCCTATGTATGCAACTACATATACTGCCAAGCAATAAGTAAGCCTTAATTTATCACTGTGGAAGTGAAGTTATGCATTAATTTGCAAACCTTTCAGCCACCACAGTTGCTATAAGCAAGATCAAGATCAAGTAAGATAAGTAAGGTGCAAGAAAGTTCTTACCTTGTTTGTGTCCAGCCAATGAACTAACCTGGCTTTCATCTGCCACTGGAGGAGACAAAGAGAGAGACAGAGAGACAGAGATCAGAAATTCCTTTAAAACCAGTAGCCTTTGAAATAATTTCAAATAATTTCACACACATGATATACTAATTTTTGAGTTTGTAATGGTTTGCATAAAGGCTTTTTTTCTCTGATCCACCTGGGATACCTCAGAGACCTAGCACCTAATCCAAAGCCTGTTGAATTCAATGGAATGACTGCTTCGGGGTTTAGTGAGCCATGGATCAGGCCCATAGCATTTCTACATTCGAAGTTCAGTTGTGGGCAGGGCAACTGATTTTGTAAATACCATATTTTGCCAGAAAAATCATAGGACTTTAGAGAATTGTAACATTTTCAGGTCAGAGGCCAAAATCCTGGAAAAGAATCCACAAGTGGGGATTCTCATATCTGCAGGAAGTCCCACTGAAGTCAATGGACTCTGTGCAGGCATCAGGTCTCCTGGAAGCAGATCCCTTTGTAGGATCTGTGCTTTTTTATGTTATGAAAAAAAAAAACTGGTTTATAACTCATATCTTTACAGTCTACATCATCTTGCAAAGAATGGATCTATATAGTCATGTCAGTCTGCATACAGAATAAATAGTGGAGAACTATTTCTAAACTTAACAAAAACTGTAATTTTGCATAGTAAGTATACTTCAGTTTATTATCCTATATCTCATGAAACTAATTAAAACATTCTCCCAGAAGCTTGTGTGGAAAAACCAATCACCTTTTCTTAAAAATAATTTTATGCAAAAGAACAAGTGCTAATGTAATGTTAAGGCTCTTGAATCAAGCAGAGAAATGAGCATTAAGGCTGACAGCTTATCCTTAATTCTACCTGCCTATCCACCTCTTTGGACTTATGCCTGGTCTCCCTTTACAGCATAAAAGATTGTCAAGTCATACAAAATATAATACAAACTGGTAGTTATTATACAACCTTCCCTGTTGCGACCACCATTAAAAACTCAGTGTTTACCCACAGTTGCAGGAAAGACCACAGTAAGACCTGTAATACAAAAGCAACTTCCTATTCTCTCTATGAAGAACAACTGTAGCATCTTAGACACCACTGTGTGGTAAATGACTAAACTGAATAGCAACTACTGTACAATAAATTGTAGTATCGTATGTAGTCGTCAGACCCGGCTTGACGTTTAAGTCTCAATGGAGATCTAAAAGGAAGGTAAATATCATCCCAGTTTTATAAATGGGAAACAGAGGAACAGACTGGTAAAGTGTCTTGCCCAAAGTCAACCTGAAAGTCAGCGTCAGATTCAGCATTAGAATCCAGGTCGCCTGATGCACAGGGCCATGATCAAGTCACTAGACCACTATGTCCCCCACTCTCTCAACACACACCGCCCGCATTCCTCATCAGTAAAACAACAATTTAATTTGGATTACTTTATGGGGAGAGACTCTAGTGTAGATATACTCCCAGTCGTTTTTCACAACAGAGCTTACAGCGGCACATCTGTACCAATGCAGCTGTAAGATCGCTCATGATGTAAACCCTTTATGTGGACAGGCGAGAGCTCTCCTGTCGACATAATTTAACCACCCCAATGAGCAGCACTAGCCATGTCAGCGGGACAAGCTCTCCCACCAACAAAATGCTGTACGCACCAGCGCTTTTGTCGGTATAACTTAGGTTGCTCAAGGGTGTGTTTTTTCACACCCCTGAGTGAGCAACATAAGTTTTGCTGAAATAAGTGGTAGTGTAGCCAGGGCCAAGTAATCTTTGTAAATTTCTGTGTAAGTGCAAAGTATTGTTGAGGCCAGGCCGAAGTGGGAATGGAACACAAAAAGAGGTCTGGGTTCCAGGGCCTATGCTCATTCTTTTAGGGCACATGGTCTCTGGAGGAGATGAGAGTCAGACACACATTTCATTACCCAGTTAAACAGCCCTCAGAACTCAAAAAGACTGGAAATGAGTTTCCTGCATGATATTTATGATATTTCAAACTTTGCCCCCCAAAATATCTACCTTCAAGCTGAAAGTAAGCATGGAAAACTTCAGTCCCAAAGGTTAATGTTTTGACAAGTTATGATTGTGTGAAAACAAGGGATTATAATGGAAACTGATTTGCAACCTTAATTATAGCAGTCACTAATGGCAACCGCTATAATATATGGTAATTACCTGAAGCAGGCTGTATTACAGTACATGGTAACTATAAAAAAAACCCAAGATACCAAGATTCATAGATTTTTTTAAAACTCTGTTGATGATTGGATTTGCTGGAGACAGGTTTATATTATTAAAAGGCACAAACCCATATAACTGAAGCATACCTTACGTACTGGCTTCACACATAAAAATTAGATTTTAATATTGGAGGGGAAAAGGAAGAGTGAAATGATTATCTTACAAAAATATACAATCAGCTTGCCCTTTGTCTTTGAGAAACTGGTTTAAACATTCTCCAGACTTAACTGGGAAACACACTTCAGTCATAATTTCAGCTTTTGTTCAGACCTTTACATATAATGTTGTAAACAAGCACTTTACCATGATATTACTAATCAGCAAGTTATGACTTTTCAAATGATGTCTCACAAGGCACAGATTGTACAAAGATTATTACAATAGTGTGCAGGGTGTGAATAAAGGGGTGTATTCCATCATAATGCCCCACACCTAAGTAATATAAAAAAACATTAATCCACTGAGTATTGCACAATTATGGCAACATTCATTTTTCACTTTTGTTCTTTTTTCCTCAGCCAGACCTAGCCACATGGAAAGTTTTATTTCTAAGCTTCAGCCACTGTTGGAATATCTCCGCAGAAAGGCATCCGATTTTTTTTTTAAAAGTTGGGGGCGGGAAACCCCTCTCTCCACATCACTACTAACTTAATAACGGCTGGATTATTTTTGAAGAAACATTTAGAGAAGCAATTACCTCTGAAATCATAACAAAGGCTAACCATGGAAAGTTTCAGCCCAAGAGGAAAATGCTTGAGAACGTTCTGAGCATCTCAAGACAGCAGTGAATACAGAAAACGTCACACAGTACAAAAATTCAACTATAACGTTCCCTAATGAGAATGCTATGTAGACATATGTATGTTTTTAATGTAAGAAAGTTAAATGTGATGAACTACAAAAAATCTATTTATCTCTGGGACCAGGAAGTAAGGAATGGGGAGCAAACAAACAAATGGAAATGAGCAGTATAAAGATGTATTACTTCTGCGGGAATTCTGCATCACTGCGCAATGCAGAATTTTGCAGAAATTAACGTTGTGTGTGTGCAGAATTTCCTTTTCCCTACCAAAATGGGCTGCAGTTCTGCTGGCAGCCACTAGGGGCCTCTGGACCTGGGAGAGCCCAGCTCGCACTTAGAAGACACTGCCAGAGGGAGGGAGAGGGAAGTAGAGGGTTCCTGGCAGCTGCAGTTCCAAGTATTGCCCTGAGGGAAGGAGATGGGAGCGCACTGGAAACTCCACACAAGCCGGGGACCCAGAATCAGGCTTTTTCTCCCTCTAGATCCGTGGGCTCTGGGTGGGGAAGTGGGGGCAGGTGTCTGGGCTGGGGGGGGGGCGGGGATGTGGGTATCTGGGCAAGGGGGGTGCCGTGTCTGGGCTCTGAGGGGTAGGGGATTTGGGTGTATTGACTGGGGCTGGGAGGGACCATAGCTGGACTCTTTGGGGGGAGGGATTGTGGGTGTCTGCCCCACCCCCCCAGCTGGGCTCTGGGGGGCAGGGAAGGGAGCAGAGAAACAGGGACCGGGTTGTCATAGGGTTTTTTTTTTGTGTGTGTCTGTATTGTTACAGACATATTTGCTGACACATATTTTGAAATAAATTATCAAAATAATTGAAACTGGTGTGATTATGCAGTGTTATTTTGACCTTTAAAATTTGCAGAATTTTAAAATATTGTGAGCAGAGTTTTTATTTTTTGGTGCAGAATCCAGGAGTAAATGTATGCACATTAAAGATGATATTTTCTGTTGCTGAATTTAAAAAAAAAAAAAAAGAGACATACATTTGGATCACTGTAGGATACATCTATATAATGTAATGATTATTTTCATAATATGCTTTATTTGTTTGACAGTTATTTGCATAGCTCAAGAAATACATTATAACTAAGGCTAAGATTTTGTCACACATATTTTTAGTAAAAGTCACAGACAGGTCACGGGCAATAAAGAAAAATTTACAGAAGCCCATGATGCATGACGACCTGGAAAGCTACGGGGTCCCCACACCATTCCAGGGCCCCAGCTTGGAGCTGCAGGATCTCCCCACTGCCTGTGATTTCAAGCTCTGGGGCACTCCTGCCGCCTGGAGCGGCTGGGAGCTGCCAGGGTCCCTTCTGCCGATGCGGGCTGGGAGCTCCCAGGGAACCCCCACCACCCGGGAACTGCAGGGCACCCTGGCCACCTGCGGCTGCTCCAAGCTCCAGGGCACCCGTGCCGCCTGTGGTGGCTGGGAGCTCGGGGCCCCCACAGTTCCCAGCCACCATGGGCGGTGGGGGAACCCTGCAGCTTCCAGGCACTATGGGCTCAAGCCACAGAGGTCTCTGGAAGTCACGGATTCTGTGAAAAAATCGTAGCCCTAATTATAGTTGGTGAAACCAGCCACTTGTTTGCAGCCAGTACCTGCAATGCTCATTGAAATGTAAGTGACGAGTAAGGACTACAACCACTTAATAAAAATGTACAGATTTGGGGAGTTAGCAAGACCCACATGATCATCCTCTGATGACAGAAGATGGCATATTGCTAATAAGCAGAAATCTCTCCAGTTAAACACTCACAGCTCGCATTACTCTTTTTACAATGCCAACACTGTGTCAAGAGGTGGAAAAACTCAAAACATGAATATGCAATTATGGTATGATTTCCAATATTTCATGTTGAAATGCTTGAAGTAAAGCAGCACTCTAGAATATGATGTAATGCTTAGTATCAGTAGAAGTAGCCATGATGGTAAAAATGTTTGTGCACTGCCTTCTACTCAGCCTTTGACTGGCATCTCCA